CATCGATGGAAAAATAAAGGAAATCCTACTAGACATCAATAACAATTAAATCAAATCAAATCTACTAAGATTTTGATTCTTTATTCATCATCATCACTAATCCAGCCTCCATGAACCCTAGGTTTTTTTTAGAAGGTTGTGCCTCGTCGTCTGAAATAGGTGGAGGTGCATCATCATGAATGTACATCTCAGTAGGTACACTATCGTCCTCAGGGTTCGCGAGTCGGGCCAACTCCCACTGATCAATCAACTCCATGCAAAAGGCCTCATAGTTAATCTCTCGAGGCAAAGTAGGCACAGCAATACCCCATAAATAATCATAAATTGATTCGGCAGTCTCTAGCCACTCTTCTGGCAAGGTATCGATAAGAACACGGGTGGCCCAACATCCAGTGACCATATAGCCTAGTTGTCTCACCTCTCTCCACCTTACAAGCATCTCCCAAATGTGCTTACACATATTGTGCATTGGATTCCACCGATACTCTTCATACTGTCTCATGATCTCACATCAACGAGACATCAATGAACTTATCTTCCTACCAGTTATTCAAAGTCCAATAGTGGGTATCTAATAGGTTTTAGTTAATTCTCGAGGACTTAAATAAACATTTAATATGGTCACATTCTCAAAATACTTTGCAAAATAATGATTATTCACAAAAGGTATTCAGCTGAAACGTATATTAATATTCATAAATACATTTCAAATGTTGTATCTGAAATAACTATTCCATAATCATAAAACATTCTTTACCTCAAAATTTGCATGGCACGGCTATGGCGGGCATAGTGCTCAGGATCCTTATTAAAAGAATTTTGATCATCTTTATATGTGACACAACACTCCTAAGATATGGTTTCTATTGCAAGTCTACAGAAAAATAAACCATGCTCTGATACCAAACTGTAACGCCCCAAATTCTCGAAAACTGAAGCGTTAAAATAATATTCGTTTCTTTCTTTGGTTCGACCCTTTTGACGCTAGTCAAAGTATTTTATAAATCCAAATTTCTTTTTTAAATATATAAAAATATAATGGAAGGTAGTTATCTATATAACTTAGGTAAATGTAGCAAAATTTGATTTTTTTGCAAAAGATTTGAAGACAAATCGGCAGTTATGGATTTAACGACAGCGGAAGAAAAATATTTTTGGCCTAGCAAATGTCTATTAAAATTTATGAAATTTTTACAGGGACTAAATCATTCATATATGTACCACATATAAAAATTTGGGGTTTCGACGATAACGTTTGAAGCACGAAAATATTACTCGAATATGCTGGATAGGAATCTCGGATTCGACACGATGCAGTTTACTAAAATGGGCATAAATTTATTTTTAGATAATATTTTCGAGAAATTCCAAAGGCCACTATTAGAAGACTCATAGACCTTTCAAACCCCACTGATTTCACTTAAAAACATGCACCATAGACCAAGTTATGCTATTTTCAACTAGAAGGACAGAAACTGAAATTTCCACCCAGCATAAAATAAAACTTCATACAAATTAATCCAACACTTTTAAATTCTTTTTAACATGCACTGTCTAAAAATGGAACAAAATAAACATTAAAAAGCATTTCTAAAAGTTCATCTAAGTTCCAAGAAATATTTACATAAATAGAAATATTCACTAGAAATTGAAAGAATTAGAGATTGCCGAACACTTGCCACTATGCCAACCATTGCCATGCCTCGATCTTAACCTGTAAAATTATTTGTAGAGATGAGTACTATAAATAATACTCAGTAGGAAACACTTAAGTAAACGGTAAAAATATATATTTTCAGAAATGCAAACTTTGGTCAATTGTGTCACCGTCAATTTCAAGCGAATTGGTGATCAATCAGTCCGCTTACTCTTAGGTTTTGATAACCCCATTTCATTTGTCATAATCATCTCTTGTTTAAACCACCAAACGGTGATTCCATCATGAGCAACACAATAACACATTTAATGCAAACGAAAATATATAAATC